GGAGGGAGGGAGGGAGGAGGGGCGGGGGGGGCCAGACTGCCGCTACCGCCGAGCCGCCGGCCCCGCGCCCATGACGATGCTGCTGGACGGAGGGCCGCAGTTCCCTGCGCTGGGGGTGGGCGGCTTCGCGGCGCCCCGCCACCACGAGATGTCGGGCCGCGACCCCGCCGCCGCCGCCGGGATGGGACTGGGACCCTTCGGGGACTCCTCGCACGCCGCCGCCGCCGCCGCCTTCAAGCTTAACGCGGCCCCGCACGACCTCGCCGCCGGGCAGAGCTCCGCGTTCACCCCCCAGGCTCCCGGCTACGCCAGCGCGCTCGGCCATCACCACCACCACCATCACCACCACGCCGGCCAGGTGCCCTCTTACGGCGGGGCCGCCGCCTTCAACTCCACCCGCGACTTTCTGTTCCGCAACCGCGGCTCCGGGATCGCGGACGCGGGCTCCGGCACGGCTCAACACGGCCTTTTTGGCGGCTCTCCCGGAGGTTTGCACGGTCCCGGAGGCATCCCGGACAGCCCGGGCTACCTGCTCTTCCCCGGGCTCCACGAGCAGAGCCCGAGCCACACGTCCCCCGGCGGGCACGTGGACAACGGACAGATGCACCTGGGGCTGCGCGGGGATCTATTCGGGCGGCCGGACCCGTACCGCGCCGTCTCCAGCCCTCGCACGGACCCTTACGGCGGGGCCCAGTTCCACAACTACAACCACATGAACATGAATATGGGCGTGAACGTGGCCGCTCATCACCACCACCACCATCACCACCACGGGCCCGGGGCTTTCTTTCGGTACATGAGGCAGCCCATCAAGCAAGAGCTGTCCTGCAAGTGGCTCGACGAGAGCCAGCTCAGCCGGCCCAAGAAGAGCTGCGACAGGACTTTCAGCACCATGCACGAGTTGGTCACCCACGTCACCATGGAGCACGTCGGGGGGCCGGAGCAGAACAACCACATCTGCTACTGGGACGAGTGCCCGCGGGAAGGCAAATCCTTCAAGGCGAAATACAAACTGGTCAACCACATTCGGGTGCATACGGGGGAGAAGCCTTTTCCCTGCCCCTTCCCCGGCTGCGGGAAGATCTTTGCCCGCTCCGAGAATCTCAAGATCCACAAGCGGACGCACACAGGTAAGGGCCGGGGCTGCGCGGTGCCGACCGTGCGGGGGGAGCCGTGGAAATGCCCATGAGCCCCCGTTTGTGGAGATTCCGCCTCTTTTTCCCCCCCTCTTTATTTGATTTTCAGGCCCGCTTGGCGTCTCTTCTAATTAAATCAGTGAGACTTTGCTCAAAGTCTGTTTATTTGCAGCTCCGTCTTCCTTTCGGCTGCGGGAAAGTGGGGGGGGGGTGAAGGCAGGGAGCAAAAGTGTTCTGGGTGCTGTGTGGAGTTGCCCAAGCTGCCGGGCCCATCTCAGGGCTTCTCCTTGCTCGGCCACATTAAGAGTAACAAAGACTGACCCGAGTGTAACAAACGCCGCTGCCCCCATCCTTTTCTTTGTTCTTTTCTTTTTTGGGGGAGTCTCAGCGTATCCTCGTGATGAGGGTGGAGGGAGGGAGCTGCAGGACGGAGCGAGGAGTTGCCTTCCTTCACCCTCTCTGAATTTCACAGGTGAGAAGCCCTTCAAGTGCGAGTTTGAGGGCTGCGACCGGCGCTTCGCCAACAGCAGCGACAGGAAGAAACACATGCACGTCCACACCTCGGACAAGCCCTACATCTGCAAGGTGTGCGACAAATCCTACACCCACCCCAGCTCACTTAGGAAACACATGAAGGTAATCACCCCCTGCTCCTCAGCTCTTACTTCTTCACACAGCGATGCTCAGCTGCCTGTGTGCTCAGGGCCGGACGGGGCAGAGCTGTGTGTTGCCAGCACAGCACTCCCAGCTCCCCACCCTGCTGTCCTTAGTGCCTGGGCCATGGCTGGAGCACAGCCCGGGGAAATGGCGTAGTTTCTTTTTGTGCTGCTGCTGCTGCTGGTGCAAGAGCTGCCTGGTTTGTAGGGCTCTGCACCCCGGAGAGCTGTGTAAATGCAGCCTGGGCTGTGGCTGCAGCCCCCCCATGCTGGGAAGTTGTTGGGAGCTGCAGTGGCACCGCACGGTGCTCGGAGTGACCGGCACGCCGCCGAGCAGGAGACCCTGATACCCCCCGTGTGCACACAGCATCCCAACCTGCCTCAGCGCTGCCCCGGGCTCGCTCCCATCTTTACCTCTTGCTTTTAGGTGCACGAATCCCAGGGCTCGGACTCTTCCCCTGCAGCCAGTTCGGGCTATGAGTCCTCCACCCCCCCTGCGGTGGGCTCGGCCGGCAGCAAGGACTCCACGAAAACGCCGCCGGCAGCCCTGCAAGGGAACCCCGGCCACAACCCCGGCCTGCCCCCCAATTTTAACGAGTGGTATGTGTGAAGGCAGAGACTGGACCAAACGCCTTGGGAACGAGGCAGAAAGGACAAGCCAAGCCCACTGCCGTTTGCTCCCACGGAAATGGAGTTTCTACACCGATGACCGCATAGGGCTAGTTAATTGCCAGGAACCGGAGGGGGGGGGTGTCTTTTATTATTATATTATAATTATTACTATTTTTTGCAAGCCGAGACGCTGGACTAGCCATGTCCTTTTCTCAGGATTGGATTTCTTTTTTTTTGTCTTTTTTTTTTTTTTTTCAGTCGCAGTCGTTTCTTTGATTTATTATTTTCCTTCTCCTTGCCCTGTACCTCCGATTCCCCACTTTTTACTTTTAATTTTGTTTTGTTTTGTTTTTCTTCTTCTTTCGGTGGGATGTTGACATGAGGATGAAAATTCTCCTTCGCCTTAGTGGTGATTGTTTAAACTTACAGTCTTAAACCGTGCCAAAGTCCTGTTATGTCTTGAACTTTCCTCTCTAGCTCTCCTGCTGCTTCTCTCTCTGCTCTCCTCCTCTTTCTCCTTCTCTCTCTCTCCAAGCATTACACTTGTGAATGTATTCTCATCTGATGGGGTCGGTCAGTATTTTTCAGGATGAGGATGTGGTGTTTATTCTACCCAGATTGTGACGTTTAGTATAACAGTTGCCTTTTTGTAATAACTTTTTTTGTAAATACATATCCATGATGCCATATTTATCGTTCGTAATTTAATTATTGATACAAAGTGCCGGGAACTGAACAATATTTATGGGGGAGAAAAAATTGTTTTCTAACAAAAAAAAAAAGAAAAAGAAAAAAAAATACAAACAGCAACAACAACAAAAAAAATCAACTCTGTACAGCTTTTGGCTATAACTGCTTTAGCATTAAAAGTTTATTGTTTTGGAAAGAGCCCCCGCGAGCCGTTTTTGACCTCCTTCGTGTCCCCTCCCCCTCCGTTTTCGGGGGCCGCCGTGGCCCGATTCGGGTCCGCGCCGTTGTTCTGGGGCCGGCGATGCGGGAGAAGCGTCCTCGTTCTCGCCGCTGCTTTTTCTCCTGCCTTTTTGTCCCCGCCCTCCTCATCCCTTCCCGAGCCGACGGAGCCCGGAGCGCGGCGGCGCCACCGGAGAGGAGCCCCGGGGGCAGCGGAGCCTCCCGACGGTGAGTACGGGGCCGAGAGCCGGCAGCGGGCTGCTTCCCGGAGGGAACACGGGCGACTTCGAGGCGCGCCGAACTTATTCCGTTATCGTCTGCTTTTGTTGTTTTGTTTTCGTTTTGCTTTTTCTTTATTTCCGATTAGGATTCGACTAAGCGTCTCCATGCCCAGGAGAGCTGAGGAACTCCAACTCCGCCGAAGAGCCTCAGACAACCGGAGCGACGGTGGAAAAACGTTCTGTGCTCCGCTTCGGGAGACGCCCGGCACCGCACGGGCTACGGCGGGACGAGTCGGCTCCGTGTCCGGCCGGTGCGCGGCCGCCGCTCCCCTCAGTGCCGCAGTCTCATCGTTCTCGGAGCTCTCTGCGGGTGGAGACCTCCCGGACCGCGCACCTCTGCCGTCCGGGAGCAACCCCCTCTTTCCTCCCCCTCCCCCAGTGGGCCCGTCTTGAACTTGACTCGGATGCTCCGCGGGCTGTCCTGTCTCCTCTTGCATGAAGCTTGGGAGATCGGCCCACGGGACACTGCATGCTTTAAAAATTAACCTTAAGCGAATTTCTGTTCTCATCCTCTTCACTTCCATCCCCGAGGAAAAAAAAAAAAAAAAAAGAAAAAAAAGAAAAAAAAAATATTTTATCTGGCAGGAAAAGAAAGGAGAAAGGTAGGTAGCAATCTCCGGTACTGCATGTTTGAAAAACAAAACAAACCAAGCAAACAAACAAAAAATTCCAAGCCGGTTAAAAGAAGCTTTCCCACCTACTCTCATTATTGAATTTCTCTCCTTAAAACAGTTGCAGAGTTTCCCCGAGGTGCCCGGCCAGCCGTGCTCCCGCTGCTCGATGCCGTGGGCGCTTTCGCTGTGTGCGGAGCCCCGGGGCCGCGCCGGGCCAGGAGGAGCGGAGCCACCTGGGGCCGTCGGGTTTTCCTCGGACGCCCACCTGTGTCGTGTCTGCGTCAGCCTCAGAACCGTGCCAGCCTCAGAAAGGTGCCGGTAGGCTCGGATTTGTTATTGGTTTGTTTGGAAGTGGGGAGACATGAGGTGTGCAGGGCTCCGTGGGAGTCCCCTGGGCTGAGGGCTCTGCCCTGTGCAGCTGGCGTGGTTTGGGGTGTGAGCTGCAATGGGGCCATGGCCCTTTATGGTCGTGCTGGTTCCTGCCCTGCCGACCCTGATAAATTGTGTCTGTGGGTTTGCAGCATGCCCCAGCCATGTTTCTAGCAAGGGCTTAAATCCAGTGTCTTGTGTTATTTACCTCCTCTGGGTGACTGGGCAGGCTTGGTGTCTCCCCATCCAGCCGTAGGATGGAGAAGGGGGAACAGACCATTGCCTGCACCCTGCTGAGGTCAGGCCTCTCTGCTGCTCTGTAGCAGCCCCCAAAAAAGGGGCAGGAGCAGCTGGGTTGTTTGTGTGTATTTGGGAATGGAGGTGATGCTTGGGATGGATGTACACAGGGCTGGCAGCCTGTTTTGGGGCTTTGAGATGCTTTCAGAGGGAGATGCTCGGAGTTAGCAGTGAGGGGAGGAGGCAGCAGGGCCGTGTCCCCATGTACGTCATGTTGTGCTGCTGCTGAGTGTTTGTAGATAAATAAGGATAGTTTTTTTTCTGTAAAAGAAGCCAAAAGGCTCCATTCCTCACTCTGGCCCACTCGGATAGTCTTAGTGCATAGGACGCTTGCTTTATTCTTGCATTCCTTAGGCTGGCTGTGGGGCGAGCTCCTGAATGCAGTGCCAGAGCCTGGCAGTGGGGCATCCTCTGTGCTCGCAATTTGGGGTATATCCCTACAAACAGGGCAGAGTAGTGTTGGTGAAGCAGGTGCCCCGTTAGCACAGCTCTCGGTGTGTCATTAAGAATGGATCTGGTGTTGCACCCTGAAGGGTCCCAGGACTGCAAGCAAAATGGGACCGTATTCTGCTGTCCTCTCTCAGGCTGGCAGCCTTCTTGAAGTTGGTGCATGAGCGGGATTAGGTGGATTTGTCCCCAAACAAACAGAACTCAGGACGGTTTTCTACAAGGGCTGAAATGGTGATTCATTGTGCTATAAAGAATCCAAGCAGAGGCAGGCGATGAGCTGGAGCCATTCCTTTTCTACCACGCTTTATGAGCCATGAATATTTTGATTCCTTTAGTGTCATTGTTTGTGCGTATCTGTCTCTGTGTCTGGTGTAACCCAATGAAAATAATATATTATTTTCTCAAGCTTTGTGCGTGCCGTTGGCTGCACGCAGGGGGAAGGCAGTCCTGAAGGCGTTTGATCAGGTTGTGCACAAGTGTCTCAGAGCCGCAGCACCAGGAATTAAGTTCCTTTTCTAACTCTGCTGGCTGCAAAGCCTTCGTTCCCAAAGCAGTGGTGGGCTGCAGCATTGTGTTTGCATCTCTTTTTTTGTTGGTTTGGTTTTTTTTTTTGTTTTTATTTTTAAATAGTGTTCCCAGATTAAACATATTACACACTAACTGACAACAGCTTTTTCAGCTGAGCCTAACTTTTGGATAAGCCATCCTCGCTATTGATGCTTTCGGCATGACCAGACTATATGGAAAACACCTCTGCAGAAATGCACGCTTGTTTTGGAGAGGCAAAACTCTAGAGGAAGCTTTAAATTCTTTGCAGAAATCGGATTTTATCGGGCAGAAGGAAAGAATTTGCGTCGTGTTGACTTATCTACGCCTACAGTTCCTGGAGCTGAGCCATTTGGTTCACCTCGCCGTGCCGTTTGCGTGCTTTAAAAACAGGCTGCGTGCCCCACGAGTGCTGCTCAGCTCGGAGCTCAGAGGGCTGTGACGGTGTGTAGAGGGAGCGAGGGTTGTCCTGCTGAAGGCTGCATCAGAGCCTTGCAGGGATGGAGGGCAGCAGAGTAGCTTTGTGTTACGATGTGAGTTTTTACTCTTGGTTAACCAGGCCCGAAGGGTGGGGTGCAGCCTGGAGCCAGGACTGCTTCCCCACATCATCCCGGCTTTTGGTGGCTTTGGGGGCAGAAATAAGTGCTGGGCCTTATCTGTGGGCCGTGGCCTTGTGCTGAGAGGTCACAGCGGGGTGGGAGACGTCAGCTTTGAGTTTCTGCTTGGTGCACAGAGAGCACTGATGTGGGGAAGGCTGGCAGCAGGCAAGGCGTCCCAACAGGCAATGAGCACTGCCCTGAAATATAGTGCCCTGAAATACACTGCCCACCAGCTCCTCTCTGAATCCCTCCCCAGTTTCACTGAGACAATAGTATATTGCAAAAATACTCTCTTTTATTTTATTTCATTTTATTTCATTTTAATTTTTTTAATGACCGTTTTTGCCGCTTTCTGTACTTTGCACAACACAATTCTCACACTGTTTTGGTCAGTAAGGTGTTTTTCTTCCCTTTTCCCCTGTTTTTCTCCTTATTTTCATTTGTCGAGTGCCTGATTTTGCCTATGTTAGCAGGATGCAATTGAATTGAAGCTTTCACGTTTTGGGGCTGCGGAGAGAAATTTGGCCATCGCTTGAGGAAAAGTCTGATGTTGGGCTGAGGGCTGGTCTCGAATTTGGGGATAAATCTCTGTGCAGCTTTCTGTGTGCACAGAGTTCTCAGCCCCACGCTGAGCCACGCGGGCAGAGCTCTGCTGCTCACTGGTGCAGATGGTCCCCAGACCGTGCAATTCCCACAATATTCCTATTAACTCAAAAAGAAGATGCTGCAGCTGTCAGCCACCCACCTTTAAGGACCGCTCCGAAACAGCATTGCTTCGTTTGGCAAAGTGCAGCAAGAAAAAGAAAGGGGAATTTTTTCCCCTTATTCCCTGTTGTTTTGGCTTTTTTTTTTTTCCTTTTCCTTCAGTGTTCTGAGCCTCACTTGCCAGATTTCATTTTGCCTTTTTCTTTTTGTGAAGCTGTTTAGACCAAA